GCAGGGGAGGGAGCGGCGCTCGCTGAGCGGGGACGGGACGGCCAGCACCGCCCTCGCCCCTTCCTTGCTCGCCCCCCGTTAAACGCGATCAGCTGCCACCAGCGCCGCGGGGCCACCCCGGCTCCTCAGCCCAGCTGGCCACCATGCGGGGCGCAGCTGGGGCTCGTTGAGCCGCTCCCTCCCGCCACAGGACGCGGCCGGGCGAGTGGGGCGCGGAGCCGGCAGCCTGAGCGCTGCGAAGGGGCGTCCGTATGGATCGATCCCCCAGCAAAAGGATGGCGGGCGCCTTACCCCTGCGGTGCCACCACTCACCTCACGCAGCAGCGTGGCTGGCGGCCGCGGCAGGGCCTAGCCCAGGGCACCTGAGCGCGGCGCGGCCTCCCCAGGGCTGCCCCACCATCACGCGGCACCACCCGCCTCGCCCATTGTTAAAGGGCCGAGCACAGCCGGCGTGTGTACAAAGCCAGGCCGCGCCCGCACGCGGCCGGCCGCCTGCCAATCGCCTGCCGCTTTACAGCACGGCCTGCCCGCCCGGCACCAATCGGAGCGCGGCGCTCACGGGACTAGGCCGAGCCCCGCGATCGGCGGCTGGGAGTGGGAGGGTGTTGGGTCCGTAGAGCTGCCATAGCCGCCCCGGTAAAGGCCTAGAAGGAAGGGGCGGCCTCGCTGGGAAGTACCGCGGGAGGCGGCTCTGCGCACCCAGAGGAGAGCTTGGGGCCTTCGCGTTTTGCAGGGACCCCGGGCGCGGTATAGCCCTTACCGGCGGCCTTCCCACTGGGTGCCTCGGGAGAGCTGGGTCAGCGGGGCCCGCCCCTCAGCCCCCCGAGCACCTGGGAGCACCTTGTGCCTTTCTCGTTTCTCCTTTTTGATTCAGCTGTGAGGTTTTTAACTCGGGGAGTGGTTGTGTCGGGAGCTGCATCTCCTTTTGTTCTCTTACCCTTCTAGGCACATTTTCTCTTTACCAGTAAAGGCTGTGCGCCTCTTGGGTTGCAAAAGCTCAGAGGGTCAAGCGTTTGATTTGTTTTGTGGGTGAGCTCGTGTTCTCTGCTATTTCAATTCTAGGGAGAAGATTTGTAATAGCGTGCATCTCCCTTTTTAACAGCCTGTGCTCTCCACCCTAGTGCAGGGCTCTGTCCCGGTGGGATTGCCAGCCGCAGCTCCCGGGGCAGCGGTGGGAGCTGTGCTTGCTCTGTGTTCAGAAGGCCTTTTTTCTAGAGCTTTCCACTTGTTGGTAGTCCCCTGCTGCAGAGATCTTACAAAATAATACTTGTTTTTTTATAGTGATTTACATCTTTGAATTCTCAAATACGCAACCAACAAGCTAATGAGAATGTAAAACCTGGTACAACAAGCAATGCAAAGCGATGAAGAAGAAATGCTTTGGGTGCAATTTATTTTGAGGGAGTAGATTTAATTTTTCATTTCTACCCATGCTCGGACATTATTTTTTTATTTAAGAAAATGGAAATCAACTTTTTGATGGAGCCAGTTTAATAACTAGCTAGGGCTGTAAAAGCCCGTACCTGTAAACATGCATGTCTATCTGTAATGGGCAGTGCTATGGACTGCAGGGGCCCATTTCATTTGAGGAGGTGCAGTCATAGGTGGAAGCCCTTGTTTTTGAGGGAACATTTTTTGCCCATTTATGACAGGTTTTGTTATATAATGCTATGTAGTCTTCTGAAGAAAAAAAACTACTGGAAAAATATTGGTATTTTGTGTGTGTGAGTAGATAATTGAGAAAATACTTCAACTATTTAGCTATCTGAGATCTGTGGACTATTGACAAAGCAGCAATTTGCTGTTCTGATGGCTTTTTATCTCATTTCTATACATTGTTTTATAGGTTAATGCGTGCTCAAACTAATTTTGATTTTAAAAGTATTTATTCTTGAAGAAAGGTTATACCAGATTTTATATTTCAAGGGTAGGACAAATCTCAAAAGCAGGTTCCTAATGAAGACATAGTCATTTACAATGCCTTTATGGCCTTTAGAAATGTGTTGCCTGCTTGAAAAGGAGAAAGCTATAAACACCAACATGCTAAAAATCTATTACAATGGGCCCAAACGGGGAAGTAATGTTTCTACTTTTAAATATTGGAAGAAATTACTGTTAGCACTGCTCCCTCCACTGAGAAATTTTTGGTCACCATGTGGATTAGTCTGTTGCTGAACTGTTAAGGGTGGGGGGAAGAGTAGATACTTGCTGATTGACTTCTCAGATGTGCTTGTCTGACTTGGATAGGAAGTATCATCCTGATAAATAGCTCTCAGACTACATCGTTTTCATTTAGAAATGAAATGAGGTTTTTCTTTCATCAAGAAAAACAATGATGCCATATTTACTTGCCACTCTTCAAAGATGATTGAGCTGTGGAGCTACCTATTTCAGATCCTTGTAATGCTTCTTCATTGCCTTTTACCAAGTTGCTATGCACCTTTCAGACTATTCTAATTGAGTTGTTGATCTTGTAAACAGTTACATCTATACCTGCTTTTCATGCAATCAAAAGATAAGTTTGGAAAAGCCTTATCATGGTGCCCAAGGCCAAGATTGCTTGACTGTGTTTTTCTAATTTTGGAGACACCTGGAAAATCATCCTATTGAAAAAGCCAAAGCACTTTTATATAGTTGTGTCATCATGTGCAGGAAGCATACATCTCTGCACCTTAACGCCAACTAGAAGAACTGAGAGTCTTGGAGTCTTCAAACTGAGGCTGGCTGCTTTCAGAGTCCAAAATTTCCAACATTGGAGTTTAGGGGTTTAAATGGGAGTAGTGCAACTGTACTGAAAATAGGTTAATACAGCTTCTCTCTGCATGTCTTATAATTGGTCCTAAAAGTAATAACCAGTGGTATTTTTATAACCTATTTGTGGTGGTCAAGGCTTTATACAGTACTCTATCTCCATCTTCGTCCCCTGGGTATAAGTCAGGGCAGAATAAAAATATAGTCCTTAGAATAAAGAGAGGATATTAAAGATTACTTTCAGTGGCAGTAGTTAGGTTTTCATTAGCAAGAAACTGGCAGTGTGGTTTTCCACTTAGAGGTAGTATATGGAGCCTGAGAGAATAGAAAATAACTAAATGTTATGAAACTGTTTTGAAATGGTATCCTCTTTCTGTGAATTGCCGTGAATCACCTAGGAAGTACCTGTGTCTCTTGGGGGAAATGAGATTGGCTGAGAGCGCCGCTGTCTCTGCTTTGAACAGGTGCTAGATAGCAAGAAGCACCATTATTCTTGAAATTCTCATTATCCTTGGAATTTCCAAGAAAAATTATGACCCTGATCTGCATCTAAAACAGGCTAGAAGGTAACCTGTGAAACCTGGACTAAAATGCTAGTAACGCTTTTGTGGAATCTTCTAAACAGAGTGCTGCTGAAGTCTTACAATTTGTGGACCTGTAACTCCCAGGATATAGTCCTAACACAATTTCAGACATGGTGGGTGAGCTGACTTCTCTTTGTAGTTACTCAGAGGTTAGATCTGTATCTTGGGATCTGAGGCATGTATTTATGTGTTTAAGCTGCTTTTTCATGCTCTGATTTTTTTTGGTTGTTCTTCTTGACCTGTGAAAAAAAAGAAGTGTGGCTTTTAAAATACAACTTGCAGGTAATTGTGAAGTACAGCTAATAGTCTGATCTTGAGAACAACCATCTCCCTACATTAGAAATCTCTTCCTTCCCCTATACTGTTTTTAGTGTATTGTTTTAGTGTTAATGGTACATTGGTCGCAAAGTACAACAGTTCCCAAAGACTGACACACTGTTTTCCTTCTCTGCCAAGTGTCATAAGACACATCTTTGAAGTCTGGCTCTGTCTTGACTGGCAGAATTAGATGAATCAGTCATTTCAGCTATGTAAGCAGAGTCCAGGACAGAAACTGAACTCTGGGGTGACACAGCACTGAAATAAGTATTTAAATTATGGCTTGATCACTGTTTTAACTGTTATTTTGTATATTGGTTCTTGCTTTTGTTTTAATGCTCCTTGGTTGTTCCCATCTGAATAAAGAGATGGTAATTCCATAAAAGGCGTTTTTGAAGGGCATTTTTTGTTACAATGCAGTTTTGTAGAACTGAGTATTAGTTAATAAGAAAAACAAAACCAAATCGTTTGGATTTGGTTCTGGTGTTTCTTAGGGCTGAGAAAGCTAGCTCTGCTTTTGTTACTGTACTTCTTGATCTTACTTTCAAACAAAGGCTGCACCTGATGAC